TGACCCATTAGGTTCCCGACCACGATGCCTAACGACGTGAAATATTATTTTGATCTAATCAAAATTGATAAATTAAAACACTCCTTTTAATTTATCGTCAATTCACATTCGCCGTCCCTGATTGACATCTAGCAATGTGTCAGGGCAATACATGTGACGGGAAATGTCACGTGGTATGACAAAACCAAATTCGTTCGTTTACCGTGAAACTATAATCCCTTCGTCAATATGATCCGATCAATTACGAGATATGGAATTGTGTCAATCTCGATCATCGATCATATCTTTCACTCCACTATTAAGTCAATATAAATCGAAAACTCCTTTTCGACTTATGAGTACACCTTGGCCAAGGATTTCATCATTGACTTAATTGAATGAAACGCAGATCATAATCTCCTACTATCTAAGAGTGACGAATCCTTTATTGATCAATCACAACCTTCATACGATTCTTGACGTACCCTAACGATGTCGTATTAGCGGCCCTTTTCAGAGCAACATCCAACACCGCCCTTTTACCTCATTTAAAAAAAAAAAAAAAAAAAATCTGGGCCAAAAAATGAGGCTCCCTGTGGTTTTGGGCCTGAGGGCAGGCCTCATTGGCGGCACCACGGGACTAGCCCTGGCCTTTGTCATTTTAAGAGCTGAGACTGAACCATTATTATGTTTTGACAAGAAAGATTTCTTCAGTTTATGATTATGTGGTTGCTTCACCAAATGTTTACCCAAGTGACCTTAGATTTCAGTGGCAGGGTAAAGTTTTGATCCCTGTCCCATTCAAAGGAAGTGTTATTGTGACAGTATATATTGTTAAAGTTGTTGATTTGGGCACGGATGATAAATTACTGACATACGAGGTTATATCATGGACATTTCTTGAACTTTACGATAATATTAGAAATCTATTATTTAAAAAATAATATTAATCTCTCATAATTTTAGTTTTGAGTAATATTTTTATTTCCTGATCACTTTTTGAGTCATATTTATTTAAAATAAAGTTAATATTGCCTAAAATGACTTCGTAAAGATGAACAACTTTGTCAGAAATATATAGCATAGCAAAATCATTAAAGTACACAAAATATAGTTAATTAAAAAAATTAAATAATAATTTTAAGTCGAAATTTTTTCACTAGTATGCATATGTAAAATATTGTGTGTGGACAAAGTTTTTAAGTATTGTTTTTATCGGGTTGTGCTTTATGTACATAATTTGGGTATATAGGGGTGTCCACACCCCTCACATGGAGCCCACCCCTTTTATGTAGGTAAAACTCATCCTTATCTTATTGTGGAATAGAACAAACTAGTTTTAATTAATAAATAGAAAGTATTATATTTTTTCTCAATGGCATTTGGATGTTACTATCTCTAAATTTTATTTGTTGCATAATACTTTAATTGTACTTAAAATCTTTAAATTTTTTCATTGCACTTTATGTCTCTAACTTTCTCCGGGTCAAATTTTAATCATTATTTTTTATTAATGAAAACTTGACGATATACGAACGCATGAAAATTTTGAGAACATAAATGTTATAATGAGCAACTATTGTGACCTTAAATACAATTAAATTTTGGTGCAAAAAGTAAAAGTTGAGACGAGAATGTAAGTACACTTTTAAAAAGAATTAAAGAGGGGAATGGTTATAAAATATAAATAAAGAAGTTATCGAGTACTATAATGATTATATAGACTAAAATATACATTCATTTATTATATGGGAGTTACTTCAACAAAATAATGACAATTTTTTCAATGTCGCTATTTCAAATTTTGGAGGACTTGCAGTTTTCAAATGCAAGATATTTAAAATGTTTATTAAGAATTTAAATAAAATACATCTATTGTCAAGTTCAAATGAGGAAAGAAATATAGATTGCAGTACATATTTAATTATCTAATAAACTAAAATTGATTTTAATATTTATTGGACAACTAAGTCCATATTTGTCTACCATTTTTCAGAAATTTATTTTCAATTACATATTTTCATAAAAAAAAATATTTTACATATGAACCAGAAACTTTTTCTTGCTTTTTAATCATATATTTTCTAAAAAATTATTATTCTAAAATTTATTTAGCCTAAAATTCTTTTAAACGAGCATCAAGCGGGGGCTAAAGGTTAAACTTTCCCAATTTTACTAGCAACTAGGGGACCCTAGTGCATTATTCAAAGTAAAAAAGTAAAGATCAGTCACTTTATAATTCATTTAAGCTCTTGATCTTACGTGAAAACGAGCTAGTCACGTGCTAAGGCGTGGTCTTTTGCAATTTGGGGAATCCTAGGATTGACTACCACTCAGTACTTGACTTGTCCATGTTTGATTCTATTTTTATAATTTTTATTTTATAAAAATAAAATTTTGAGGGATGTCCATTAAAAATAAGAAGAAATATAAATTTATTTTATTAGGTAATTGGTACTAAACGTCCATACCTTTTATTTGTATTGTAAAAAGCGTTCATACCTTTCATTTTTTGACATTTTACCCTTATTTCCACTTTTCTTTGCGTCGAACGTCTTTTTCACTGTTTTTTGGTGTAAAATAATCAATATACCTTCTTATTTAAATAAAAGAAAAGAAAAAATTGCAATTATAGGCGAAACTTCTAAAAAAGGTCAAATACTCGCCATAACTTCACCTTCTTCCCACACCTCACCCCCAGGCCACCGCCACTTGTCGGCCATTTTCAGTCACCTTCTGGTCAGCTTGATTGTCGGACCAACATACCAACTTGAAGCCCTCACTTCCCTCCTCACAACCACCCAACCACTTGCTGCAAATCTAAAGGAATTGATCGAAAAATTGCGCCAAAATAGGTTGTCCACGCAACTTCAATAGCAAAATCGACAAATTCAACTCCATTTTTCGATGCCGACGTCATGATCGACGACGGCGGACCACCCATCCTAGCACCACCTCTTTAAGGAGAACGTAATGAACCTACGAGTCATCGTCAATTTTAACCAGAAATTGTAGAACCACTCTTGATAGTTTGTATACAAAGAAACTCGGTCGATCCCCTTTCGATTGATCATGTTACAGGGCTTCAATCCACCAATTCTAGCATGTAATCGTCAATTAATGTTGTCACAACTATGGGTCCTCCATCAATTGCATCAATTCATCAACTAAACGATCAATTTTCAAGATTGAACTCAAGAACTATCGGCCGAATGCGAACTCCAATTTTCTAGCTGTAGATTTTGATTTTTAGCTTTGTTTGATGATATGAAGACATCTATAGGAGCGCAATGAGAAGCATAATCGACCTGGAGGATGGGTGTCCCAAGGGTGTCGTCGGAAATGGAGTTTTCAGCCTCCATTTTTTGCCGTTTCATGTTGCGTGAGCAGCTTATTTTGGCGCAATTTTTCGGCCAATTCCTTTAGATTTTTTGGCTAGCGATTGGGTGGGTTGTGAAGAAGGAAGTAAGGGTTTCAAGTTGGTATATTGGTCCGGCGGCCAAGTTGAGCGAAAGGTGGCTGAAAATGACTGGGAAGTAGCGGTGGCGTGGGGGTGAGTAGTGATGGCAATTTACTCTGCCCGAATGGGGCAAAAAAACCCGTCCCGTCGCGGCGCGGGGCGGGGCATAAATGGTCGCCCCGTCGCGGGGCGTCCCCGTGATTTTTTTTTTTTTTTAATTATAGAGTTCATCTATGCAACATATTTCAAAATCGCTTTTTATTTTAATTTATTTTCTATCACAATTTTTTTAATAACATAATTTATATGTAGACCTATCATTTTTTCATACTTTTTATTTACACATTCTCTAAAAATCATTTTACATTATAAGTAATTTTATCTCAAAACAAAAACTTAAATTTACATAAAGTAAGGGCATTCTTTATTAAAAGTTCAACTTGAATGTTATCCGTATTTTATTAAACTCGCAATTAAAAAAAAAATTAAACAGGACAAGAAAATTGCCCCGCCCCGCCCCGAACCCGCCCCATTGCCATCACAAAGGGTGAGGTGTGGGAAGAAGGTAAAGTTTTGAGTGGGGGGTATTTGCACTTTTTTAGAAGTTTCCCCTAGAGTTGCATTTTTTTCTTTTCCTTTCTTTTTTCTTTTTATTTAAATAGGAGGGCATATTTGTCATTTTGCACAAAAAAAAAGTGAAAATGACATTCGACGCAAAGAAAGGTGGAAATAGGGGCAAAAATGTGAAAAAATGAAAGGTATGTATATTTTTCACAATACACTCGAAAGTTAGGGACGTTTTGTGCTAATTACCCTATTTTATTTTGTTAACTTGTCCATTTTCCATGCCCACCTAACATGTTCGTACCACAATTTCTTTAAAATATTCATATATTGGATGGTAACAATAGTGACACCATCATCAAAAACTAAAATGGATTTTGCTATTTTATCCTGGACTAGATCACCTTGGCCCTGGATTTGAATTTTAAAAATTCAGACCTTGGTCCTGGATCTAATCCCTACCCCTTTTGCAGCATAACCCAACTAAAATAAGTTAAAACATAAAATCGATGTATATCAAAACTAACAAGGTCTACTATAGCTGTTAAGTAACGAATCAAAATGATGATAGATTAATTAAAATAAAGCTTGTTGTTTTTTTCTACTGTAATTCGCAATAAGATATTAAAAAATAAGGTCCTAATGACATGTTAACAATTATTTAAATGATGTCCTATAACTATTCGTTGAAATGAACCAAGTGATGCAATCAATGTTAAATTTATTATGGGGGAAGAATAAAAACACATTGCCACCATGTCAATGGCCGGAACGGGAGATGACAACCAACCGAAAACTCAAAATGACAATAATATCCTTATTCATTATTAGCCAATATAGAGTTCTCGAAGCCAGCTTAATCGTGAACGGAGGGTAAAAATGTAAAAAGAAAAGTCCCATGGGCTGTAATCAAGTTTCACCCAGCCGACTCCATTAGACAAACCAAGGAGAAAGATAGGAAATTGACAAGAATACCCTCAAAATATCCTACAAAGAGTGTCAACAAAAGGATACTTCTGTCAAGTAGTAGTCTCCTCCATGTTCATACAAACTCATACCCTACGTTGGTACAAAATATGCTCACTATTTACTTCTACACATATTAAAGATCCCTGAAAATGAAGTAATCCCATCAAAGATATCTCAATTATTATCAAGAATAAGATTATTACAGAAAAGCAAATTTTAAGCAAGATCATAATACCGTACAAGTAAAACAATACAATATTCACATCCACATATACGCATGTATAATAGTTTATGTTTTTGAGCTTAATCTCCTGAATCATCATCACCTCCAAAGATTGATACACGGTTATAAAGGAGGAATAAGACGAGTACAAGAACAAGTGCAACTCCGACCGGCGAGCCACTGACACGGTGGATGGTATTGGGTTCTCCGGTGGAGAAGATGCTCGAGACGAATGAGCCACTGTCGGAGGAGAGGAATCGGATGATGAGGAGGAGGATTATGGGGAGGAGGAGGAGCCCAACCGGGCTGAGCATCTCTGCGATGAACTCGGTAAGGGCTTCACCTTGGTCGCCGAGTAATGTCGGCACTACCATGACTAAAACCACCACCACCGCCAAGATGGCGGCATGGGGAGGCCGGGCACGGCGGTCTTCTATCATTTTGTGGTGGTCGTGAATTGTTTGTGGGTGTGATTTTCTTGATCTTGTTTCTGTGGGGGACTTGAGACTTTGCTTTTGGTTCTTGACTTGAGCTTTTTTTTGTTGGTTTTGGTCCGTCTTTTGGTAGGGTAAATGAGTAGACATGAGATGCCCTTGGGACGCGCCTGCTTCAAAAATAATAATTTTCTTTTCAACCAAGGATTCCGTGGGTGGGTGGGTGAAGGAGTACGAAAACAACTTTGTGATTTCTATTCATATATAACACTCGAAATTTGGTTGGTAATTGATTCGTTGATTATCTGGCTCATAAGGGCTCGATCGGTAGGCAGTTCAGCTTATTTTCCAATGAGCTTATGGCCCGAGCCGAACTCATTTTGCTCAGCTGAGATTAGAAGAAGTTCTTTTACGATTCGATTTATATTTAATTTTTCTAAAAAGTTGAAAAGCTTGCAGTCTATCCCGATACCACTTAGAACATTACCACCCAACAATTTACCACTTGAAATAACATTGTTTTTGCAGAGATAAGGTGATTTTTCTTGCCATAATTACAGGTCAGGTCTGTCAAGGTAATTTCTTTCTTGGCAAGGGCAAAAGGGTCATTTAAGGTTTCTAGCCGTGTGATGATGTGGGAGCCGATATTATATAACTTTTTTTTTTTTTTTTTAACGAGGTGTCCCAACTTGCGCCAGACTATATCCTCGTCCCTGAACCTCCTGCCCCTCAACTGCTCAGGGAGGTAAATCGCAGGATGTGCCCTTGTTGGTTCCCAAGTTCCCACATGACTTTTACTCCTTCCCCCAAAGGAAGCCTCCTCCATGGTGATTAATCCACCAATAATTCCTCTTTTATTGGATCAAAGGTTCCCATCAGGAATCAAACTCCCCACGCTTAGTTCCAGAACCCCCCAATGTGATTGTTCCGCCAATTTAGATGTGCCATGAGGGACACCGATATTATATAACTTCCCAACATAGACGGTGGATGACAGGATTTAAAATCAGGAGAAAACCTGTCAACATTTTCATTGAAAAGTTTGAATTAAAAAAAAAAAAAAAAAAAGAAGGAGCCACAGGTACTGTCAATGCAACATCTGTCAAAAACCTGACCCCAAATCCTGTTCAATTATATGCAAGATGAGTAGATTATGGAGAAATATGAATGCAGTTGTCCATTGACATTTTTCTTTCACAAATTAGTGATTATATTTCTACATTTGATGATTTTGACTTTGAAAAGCATCGTGGTCTGATTAATCAATCTGGCCAAATAAGCTTATATTTATTTCAATTGAATTGCTAAACTTTTATTTTGTTTCAAATTTCACCAATCTTCTACATTTGATCATCATCACCCCCTAGTTGACAGTACTAACACAAAGGTTATGACAATGTCATTAAATTAAAATGTTAAAACACGTTTTTTAAATACTTTTAAGACATAGCATAGTGATAAATTGACATCCGTTGTAGTATGACTAACGCTATCATTTCAATTAAATAGGTGTAGAAGTTGGAAAGAGAGAATATAGAATAGGGCAAGTTTATATATATGTTTTACTCCTCCAGTAAGTTCTTTCGATATGTGTTTGATATCACAAATCACAGTATATGTATAAACATGTTTTCGGTTTAACATACAATCTTTCATAGTAGTAACTCACAATAAATGAAATATCACTCCGTAGAATCAAAATTGAAGAAATTGACATACCGTATGAAATCAAGAAAATTTGATATATTTTCACTATAAATTTGAATTTCGATCACTCATATTTTTTTGAAATTAGTATTTTACTATTTTTTTCCCTTTTCGAAATTCAATATTTTGTTGGTGGTTATGCTGGTGAGGTGGTGGTTTTGAAGTTGAAAACAAAAGTTTGTTGGAGGTGGCGACAACGATAGTGATGGTGGCACTAATGGTGGCGGTGGTGCGAAGCTACTTTTGGTTGGTGGCATTATAGATTGAGGTTGGGTAGGGTAAGTGCTGGGATTAAGCGTGTTTGTGACAAATTATTTGAGATTATAACCAATAAATTAGATATTTTGTGACAAAAAATAACATGTGATCGATAAATTGTGATCAATAAATAATAGGGAAATATTGTAGTAGCGGTCCTTAACCTTTTCATTTTTTGCAAACTTTACCATAACCTTTATTTTGTGTCAACGAAGGTCCATAGCATTTCATAAATATGCACCTGAGGCCCATTTGGAAGGAAACCATCCAAAACACCTTCAATTGACCGGAAAATTCATTGAACCATTCGCTACCGCAACGATTTTGTTGATTCCTTAATTTTTCCGGTCAACTGACGATATTTTGGATGATTTTCGACCAAATAGACCTTAGGTGTATATTTTTGAAAAGTTAGGAACCTCCATTGGCATAAAATGAAGGTTAAGGTAAAATCTATAAAAAAAATAAAAAGTTTAGGGACCACTGTTGCAATTTTTCCTAAATAATATGTGATGTAAAATTTAGAATTGTACCTTATAAAACTTGTGATTTGCGACCAATAAATAAATTGTGAGCTATAAAATTTTTTATTGTGATCGATGAATAAATTGTGACATATAATTTTTTTGATCTATAATCGTGAAATAATTTGTGAATAACAAAATTTTTGTTTTGTGACTGAAAAATAATTTGTAATCAATTAATTCGATAATTTGTGACCAAATTATATAAAATTGTGATCTTAATATATTTAATTAATTATTTTATAATTAAAATTTAATAATATCTGATTTTTGAAATTTTAAATTTTGTCTCTTAGTTTTGAAATGAGTCATAGTTAATCTCTTAGAGATGAAATTTTTCCTATATCATAATTCATATATGTTATACTACACCAAATGGAAGTGAAGCAGTACTCAGTCACTCAAACCCTCATTCTCCACATCCTGCTTGCGATTTGAGAGGTGAAGTAATACTCAAGTAATTGCTGTCGATGGGCGACGATGATGAGTCGTCGTCAACAAACTATCGGACAGTCGAACCTCATGTGAGTGCCTTTCTCCTTCTCTTTTTTTCTGTGTTTTGTCATTTGTATTCACACTTCATATAATTCACTTTTTTCTTTATTATTTATGAGTTAATTGACAGAGAAATGAGAATTGTGATTTATGATAAATAGTTTATGTTATATGAGTTATGAGTTATAATTTATCATTTATAAGTTTTGATTTGTGATTTAGGATTTTAATAAGCAACATCACTATTACAGTTGTTGATTGTCGACGATTAATGATCATTGATCAACAATCAAGGTCCGTCATAGTTGAACTTCAATCCCGATTTCACCACTAAATGCATGCATATCATAGAGAAGCAAGGTAAAAATGTCGATATATTTCCTTCAACAAGACAGAGCAAGGTGAAAATTGTTGATAAATCTCAGTTAAAAAGGTTTCTAAATCCATTTATTAACAAGATTTTCAGAAATGTTTCTAACACGACCATACTTCTTTCTACGTCTTTCATTCATGTTTGGAGATTGATTGTGCAACTATTTTCGTAACATTGCAAAATGATATATTATCACTATTGAAATTAATGGATTTGTAAACATTTTCTGTATGAAATAATTAGTTTTATCAGGGAAAAAATGTTAAAAGTAACATAATTAATTTTATTAGAAAAAAACTGTTTCTCAAGCTTCCCATATATGCTAAAGAACCAAACAGTTATTAGTAAATTATTGATACCAAATTGACAGTATCTATCCCGAATTACTTTAGCAGACCTAAAAGGAGAAAACGTGATATGCAATGAATGCTAATTGAATACTAGACCCACCACCAATGTTGATCTATTTCCAATCGTATGTTAGACAAAAGAAAGTCATTTCTATATAATTTCACATCAATCCCTCTATATATATATATATATATATATGGGCGATTATATTACCAAGACAATTTATTTTTGATGCATCATATATTTCTAATAATGTCATCATAATTTTATTTTACTTTCTTAGAAGATATAATTCATGTTATGCAAAAATAAAAAAAGGAAAAATGATAGGGTGAACTTGTTTTTCTCAGGTTCACAGGCTATTAATAGCAGACTATGTTAAAAGTAACATAATTAATTTTATTAGAAAAAAAACTGTTTCTCAAGCTTCCCATATATGCTAAAGAACCAAACAGTTATTAGTAAATCATTGATACCAAATTGACAGTACCTATCCCGAATTACTTTAGCAGACCTAAAAGGAGAAAACGTGATATGCAATGAATGCTAATTGAATACTAGACCCACCACCAATGTTGATCTATTTCCAATCGTATGTTAGACAAAAGAAAGTCAGTTCTATACAATTTCACCTCAATCCCTCTATATATATATATATATATATATATATATATGTGGGCGATTATATTACCAAGACAATTTATTTTTGATGCATAATATATTCCTAATAATGTCATCATAATTTTATTTTACTTTCTTAGAAGATATGATTCATGTTATGCAAAAATAAAAAAAGGAAAAATGATAGGGTGAACTTGTTTTTCTCAGGTTCACAGGCTATTAATAGCAGACTCTCCTATCATGATATTCGTTTTTAAATAGAAAACATTATGTGCTCACTGTAAATTTGAAAATCCGCCATTATTTGTTCTTCAATCAATCTCAATAAGAATGGCTCTTTTTCTGTCTAAGTATAAAGTTTTCCCTTGTGTTATTGATGGCCTTTTCCTCAGTGCCAACAGGTGAGCAAATTTGTCCAAATTCTTAGTGTTTCTTATTTTATTATTTAATATTTTTTAGGTCAAATGCTATACGATCTAACATCAATCATGTGAATGTAATTTATCAAGAAACACCACATCCACTATCCCTAAGGACATTCACACGTTCGTGAATCATCTAATGTCATCATAATTTTATTTTACTTTCTTAGAAGATATGATTCATGTTATGCAAAAATAAAAAAAGGAAAAATGATAGGGTGAACTTGTTTTTCTCAGGTTCACAGGCTATTAATAGCAGACTCTCCTATCATGATATTCGTTTTTAAATAGAAAACATTATGTGCTCACTGTAAATTTGAAAATCCGCCATTATTTGTTCTTCAATCAATCTCAATAAGAATGGCTCTTTTTCTGTCTAAGTATAAAGTTTTCCCTTGTGTTATTGATGGCCTTTTCCTCAGTGCCAACAGGTGAGCAAATTTGTCCAAATT